TGGACATATATGAACTTGGTGAGTTGCAAGGGAAACTCGATGATTCGACCAAGGAGTTTACGGCCGCAAACCTTAGGAACTCGACGAGTAACTCTAATGACTCAGCGAGTTGGTGAGTTATGCATGGAAATCGGCGAGTAGTTGAGGGTACTCGACGAGTTGAGGTCAACAGTCCCTTGACAGCTGACTTTGACTTTAACTAAGGGTTGACCGGTGGTCTTCTGGGGACTTTTTGGGAGGTTGGAAATTTACAAGTATGGTTTTGCAATGAATATAGGTGGTGGAGTTCGTGGCAGTGATCTAAGAGTTTAAGCTTATCTTACGAGTCGACGGTTATGAGGTGAGTTATCCTCACTATATCAGTAGGGTCTAAGGCACCAAGGCCGGCCCTTTATGATTGTATCCAGATTATGGCATGATATTTAATTGGTTTACATCCTGGTAGTTAGGATGGTGATATGATTATGTTAGTGACCTCGTTAGGTTAGTGTGCTGATTATAGAATGATGCTATGTTAGTGATCGGTTAGGTCAGTATACCAGTTTTTAGGATGTTGCTATGATTAGTGATCTGTTAGATTGGTGTGACTGTTATATGATATGAGCTAGCGTATGATATTTATGTGCATTTGTCTTTTTTATTGGGCGTTGCATTGAGGTGGTCCTGCTTTGTGCAGTAGGCCAACATAACCGACGAGCTGTCCGTATAGGTTGTAGGCCCTGCGAGGCAGTCCAGTCATGTCGAAGGCTCGGGAGCGGTCCAGATAGGTTCTAGGCCCTGCGAGGCATTCTAGTCAAGCTGAAGGCTCATTATGCATGTTGTTCTGTAATTTTTATATGTTATGGTTATATTGGTATGGCGTTGGTATTTTGGGGTAGCTTACTAAGCTTTCAGGCTTACAGTTTCAGTTTGTTGTTTCAGGTACTTCTGATGATCGGGAAGGCGAAGGCAGGATCGTACCGCTCCTCCTGTTACTATGTTTTATGATTGGAAACTAGGATACTCTAATGATTTTTACTTTGAAAACAAATTATGTAATGGTTAAATGGTTTTTTTTAAGCGTGTTGAAAAAGTTTTAATTTGGCATGATTTTATGGGTGTTACATTGGGCCCGTTGCTCGTTTATTTGTTTGGTTATGTGTGGTATTTTGGGGGAAACTCACTAAGCTTTATTGTTTATTATTTCAGGTATCATGGGTGTCTATGGGAAGGCGAAGGCAAGACTATACACACTCATCAGCAACATTGAGAGATTTCGTGTTTTCTATAATACGCTGATTTTAATAAATGTAATTTGGAATAAACGGTTTTCTTAATAATAGATTTATAAATTGGAAGGTTTTACCTAGACACAAATGAAAAATTTTGGGTTGTGAAAAATGGGACGTGTCATGTTCATTTATCATGATGATGCTGACATTGCCTACTTGTTACTATATGTCGATGACATTGTGTTGACGACATCATCTACGACCCTGCTTCGGTGCATCGTAGTTCAGTAGAGGGTTTTCCATGACAGATCTAGGGGCTCTTAATTATTTTCTAAGGATTTCTGTCACCCACTCTCCTCAGGTTCTGTTTCTTTCTCAACAAAAGTATGCTTCCAAAATTCTAGAGCATGCCTATATGCTTCAGTGTAATCCAACTCGTACACCTGTAGAGACCACTCACAAACTGGATCGCCCTGGCCCTCCTGTCTTGGATCGCTCCCTCTATCGCGGTTTTGTCGGTGCCCTTCTGTATCTTATCTTTACTCTCTTGTATCTTACTTTTACTTGCCCGAACATTGCCTTTATGGTTCAACAGATATATCAGTTTATGCATAACCCACGGGAGCCTCACTTCCACACACTTAAGAACATTTTGCACTACATCAAAGGGACCTTGTATCAAAGTTTTAAGCTTCATGATTCCTCCTCCTCAGACCTTCATGCTAATTCTGATTCTGATGCTGACTAGGGTGGATGTACAGTCTCTCGTCGGTCAACCTCGGGCTATTGTGTTTTTCTTGGAGATAATCTCATCTCTTCGTCATCCAAACAACAAGGGGTCATCTTTTGATCCAGAGGCGGAGTATCGCGGCATGGCGAATGCCGTTGCCGAGACATGTTCGATTCGTAATCTACTACACGAGCTTCGGTGTCCACCCATCAAAGCCACCATTGTCTGCTGCGACAATATCAATTTCGGCTACATGACTTCGAATCTAGATAAACATCTTGCACGAAACACATAGAAATTGACATACATTTTGTTTGTGATCTGGTCGCCCGAGGTGTAGTTTGTGTTTTTCATTTCACATACAAGGGTGTCGAATACAAGGGGAATGAATATGATTAGATTTGATAGTTCAAATGTTAACTAAACTAATACCAGTAAAGTAAAAAAGAAGGGGTTTTGTTTAAACTCAATTAAACTAGATATGAAACAAACAAATAAGTACAATGAACATTCCTTATTATTTGTGATTTTCTAATGTAATTAGTTATCTAGGTCCAGTTAACTAATTTGTATAATTATTAAGATAATTTACACAATGTTCATGCAATTAACTATCAACGGTTATAATTAAGTTCCTATCATTAGGGATTTGATCTAAAAATTAACCTACCTAAATGGCTTAACAAAAGGCCCAACATAAATAAGCCCGAAAATACTATATTAAGTGAACATTCATCACTAATGATGGTTAAATAAATTATTTGGACATTTAGGTATTTGAGTTATCATCAAACTGAAGAAAAAAAAAATTAATTCTTTTTTGGATTTTCTTTGTTTAGGGATCAACAATGGAATACTGCCATCAAAAATCATTTGTCGCTAAAGGGAAGCGACAGAATTAGTGAAAGACTTCTTATGCGTAGGGACGAAAGTCGCTGAAAAAAGATGATTTTTGTCGTTGCTCCATTGCTAATATGGTGTTAACGTCCGTCATCAATGCGTTGCTAAGTTCTTCCTTCATCTCCTCGTGTATTTGATCAATAATAACCTATAAATAAAAAACAACTAAAACCATTTAACTGTGATACCTTCAACTTCATAGAAAATAGTAATTAACTTTCAAATTCATTATGCTTTAGTAACATACTCTCAAGTTGACACAATATAGCAACGTACTTTCAACTCGACACCATTTTTAGTAATACACATGATAAACAAGTAAATAGCAATGTTAAAAATAAAGCAATCTCATATTTACTCTGTGGTTGTAAAAAGGATTTAGAAAAAATTACAAATTTTACCCTTTATATTTAGCACAAAAATTGCATTTTTTTACACATTAGAAATAAAGAAATATTTATAATAGGATGCCGAGTGTAGTGATAGTTATGAGAGTGAACCTTGAGTAGTGTAATGAGTAAACCCCTTGTCCGTTGACTAAAATTTCAGTTTGATGGATTTCTACCAACACCATTGTTTCCTGCAAATTAAAATGTCAGAATTGTCAAATATGAAAATTCTTTAAAAAATGCCAAAGTTGCATAAAGACATTAAATAATATACTTTTATTAAACGAAGATATATTTGAAAATATGGTCACATTAGAAATGCATGCTTACAAAAACACAATGAATGTTTTCCCAACCTAAATTTCTGTAACCTGTTTTACTAAAAGCAATAACAAATTAAATAAATTCATTCATTTTGTGAACACAAGTAATAATAAATCTATTTCACAATTGAACACAAATTTGAAGAACAATAATCAAATGCTTATCATCTATATGATGATTATTTTTTAAGAAATGTTCTGAAAATAATTAGAGTGGTAAAATACACCTTTTTAAATGCTATCAAATGGTTGGTTTTGTATGTTTTTCCTTTTTAATGACATTGTAGTTTCTTGAATGATGTTCACATTTGAAATGCATGCTTATAAAAATCACAAATTTAACATATGATTACACAAAAACACTACAACAGGGGTGGAGGCAATCAAGCAGTAAAACATCAACACGGGGGCAAAACGGTCAATCTAACTTGGGCAACCTAGAAGCAAGTAGCAGCAGTCAAGCCTTTCAGGTCCACCTAACACGGGCTTAACAATACCACAACAGGGGCAGAAGCAACCAACAAGAATTACATCAATCCAAGGGCAAAATGGTCAAACTAGCTTGGGGGAAACAAAAACAAGTAGTATGATATTAGTAGCCTTGAGCATGTGCAACCTTCTTAAGGATCAAGTAAGGTAATAAAAGGCTACATTGGTACACTTCACTAATTTTTAATTCCATGTCTACCCTCCACAAGTAAAATCTTTAAATCATTCACATTTTTAATTATCAAGTAGACCTGAAAACATCCAAGCTGGTGGGGACAACTTATTCAATCTAGTTACAGCAAGCCTTCACCATAACAACTAATCTACAAAATGCCAATGAGAGGGACTTAACAGTAATTTAAAAAAAAAAAAAAAAAAAAAAAAAAAAAAAAAACTAATGAACACAAATCATGTTCGTAATAAAAAAAAAAAAATTAACTATCACAAAATTTAAAGTGAATAAGATAAGCCTTCAAAACCAACCATCAAGCCCTAGTAAAAACAAAATGACGTAATCATAAGAAAACAGAAGACAAGAGATAATGTCGACAGTTACCTGATGTTATCATTTGAAGAAAAGGAATCATATACAACTTCTAGAACGAGTACCATAGCGTGATTGAAACGGTAGAAGTGCAGCTGCGATGGTGGCGATAATGGAGGGGTTTATCGCAGGAACGAACCAAGCGCGAGATGTATCTTTATGGAGGGAATACCATATTTTTATCTATTTGGGAGGGAATCCCCAAATATTAATTTAGGAGCGAAACGATCGGTCGCTGAAATAAAAAAGCCACATCTATCGCTAATTTGTAGGAAAACCCTCGCTAAAATTAATAAAACCATCGACCTATCACCAGCGGATAATATTTCTTGCAGAACAGTCGCCGATCCCTTGGTAATTCGTCGCTAATTGGCGACGGATTTATTCGCTGATTCCGTCTCTGATACCTTGTTTCTAGTGTAGTGTTAACTCCTCGATTTCTTGGAGACTTGAGGAACAATCGAGCTCTGATTCTGGTAGTGGTAACTCCTCGATGATTTCCATTGGGGGGCGGAAGGAAGAATTGGAACTGTCAAACATTTCGCCAGGGAAGGAAGTCTGCAGTTTGTGGCAAGGGTGAATATTCACAGTCTTCAAAGAATGACACTGGTTGGACAAATTGTCTATTTTTAAAAGACTAGGGCAGTTTTTAATACTTAAAGATACGAGAGATGTGAGGCGTTGTATGTTCTTGATGGACAGCAGACCTGTGCAATGCGATATCTTTAAGGAAACAAGAGGATGGGGATGACATTCATCTAAGACAATAATCTCTGGGCAGAAATCAATGTCCAACCTCTCGAGGACAGGCGATATCATTGTTGAGCTGTTGGGTGCTCCATCTATCCACTTTTCCAATCTTTTCATAGCTCTTAACTGGAGCGATCTCAACGATGGAGACAAAGGCTTCGTTGATCCAGTAACATCGGAACTCCTTAAGCATGTCAACTTGTCCATAAACCATAACTCAAGATCCCGAAGATGTGGTAGATGCTCAAGCGTCGGAAGAGAGAGACAACTCGTACAACCTATTAATGTGATTGATATGAGCTTGTCAAAGGGAATCCATTTCCCTTCAATATCCATTGCCATCTTCGTTACTGATGTCGGGTAATTATCACCAAAAAAGGGGGCTATTCCTAAAAGATTCGGGCATTTCTCGATACTTAAAGATTCAAGAGATGTAAGGCCGTGTATGCTCTTAATGGACACCAGACCTGTGCAGTCCCGTATCTTTAAGGAAACAAGAGGATGGGGATGGCATTCATCTATGAGAGTAATCTTCGGGCAACCATTGATATTCAATATCTGTAGGACGGGCGATATCATTGTTGAGCTGTTGGGTGCTCCATCTATCCACTTTTCCAGTTTTTTCATGCGTTCTAGTCGGAGCGATATCAAGGAAGGAGACAAAGGCTTGGTAGATCCAGTAACATTGGAATTCTTTAAGCATGTCAAGCTGTCCATATCCTCCAACACAAGATCTCGAAGATGTGGTAGGTTCTCAAGCATGGGAAGAGAGAGGCAACTCCTACAACCTATTAATTTGATCTGTACAAGCTTGTTAAGGAGCATCCATTTCCCATCAATATAGATCCCCATCTTCATCACCCATTCTGGAAAACTATCACTAGAAAAATTCTGAATTTGCAATATTTTCACATCCCCAGGGAGTTGCAAGCCTTCCAATACTTCCCTGTCGTTTCTGCTGGCACTTTCATGATTTTCGCTCCAACTGAATTCAATCTCATATAAACTTTTCTTGCTACATAAATCTGCCTTGACAGCATCCTCTTTGCTCCTAACATTTTCTAGATTGAAAATACAGAGCTTTCCCCTGAGGTGTTTTAAACGGCTAAGCTCTTCAATTCCATGCCCCTCGTTTCTAAGCACACGGAAGTAAGGCATTAATGTTCGAAGAGAAGTTAAGTGTCCCACAAAATTGGCGGGAAGGCTTTGGTGGGACTCATAATGTCGCAGGCTTATCAAATTTCTCATTTCTTCAGGAAACTCGAGATGTAGGCAGTCAAGCAGCTTGAGAGTTTGCAAATGGTAAAGTTTACCAATAGATTTTGGAAGAACATGGATTCTGGTATTTGACAAATCAAGATACCTGAGATGCACCAACTCTCCAATTGAATCGTCTATCATCCATATTCTACATCCTTTGAGTTTTAGGATTCGTACGTACTTTAATCGTTGAAATGGAAATTTATTCTCAACTCGACCTTTGATGAACAATGTATGCAAATTTCTAGCCACCAGATTCCTTTCAATGAACTTCAAAAAAACATTGCCTTCGAATTCATCGTCGTTGATCTTTTCTTGGTAAAAAGCGAGATGTCTAACCTGACGCATACATGCAATATCATCATTTGTGGCATCCATCAGATTTAAGCTTTCATGGTTTGAAAGTGATAATGAAAGATCATGCACCAGATCATGCACGCTACAACGAGTGGTTTTACCATACTCATCCCTTTCAACATCTTGGAACAACGAATTGTTGTTCAAAATTTGAAAAATATCATTTCCCACATCCTCCATCTCTTTGTTTCTTTCCTCATGCACTTGAACCAACCCTAAAGCCATCCAAAGTAGGACCAGTTCTTCTCTTTTCATGACCTTATCTTTCTTAAAGATTGAACAATATGCAAAACATCGCTTGGCCATAGAATTGGGAAGATTATCAAAGCTCAGTTCCAAACTCTTTTGAACTCTCTCTTTTTCATCTTCTAGATCCCAAACTTTGCTATTTCTAATGGCCAACCACTTCTCTTTGTCATTGTAATTTGCCAACATGCCACCTATTAAATTTAAGAGCAATGGTAGACCACCACACTTGTTTACAATCTCACGGCCTATCTCCTCCAGTTCTCGCGATGGCATTGTGCCTGCCACAAACGCTCTTTCTCTAAAGATGTCCCAACAATGATCATCAGAAAGACCTTTTAAAAGACATGAATCAACCTTCATTCCGGTTGTTCCGATATCAAGCTTACGTGTAGTGACAAGTATGCCACTTCCGTTTCTTGAGTTTACTTTTATCATACAACTCCTAAAATCTTCCCAATATTGCCTCTCTTCGACCCAAACGTCATCCAAGACGAGCAAATATCTTTTTGTTGCTAATTCCTCTTCAAGACTTTTAATTAAATTGACCTTAAGGTCTGACATAGATTTCCTTCCGGAAAAACATTCATAGATCTTTGCGAGAAGTGTTTTGATGTCAACCTTAACCGACACACACAACCATGCTTTCACATCAAAACGTTGCTGGATTTTTGGATTATTGTATACGGACTTAGCTAGAGTGGTCTTCCCCATCCCACCCATTCCCGTAATGGGAACAATCGTAAGTTTTTCTTCTTTTCTTGACTCGGTTAATAGGTGTATGATGCGCTCTTCATCCTCCACCCTCCCAACAATTTTAAATTCTTCTGGGTGTGGAACAGTCTCCCTCCAATAGAGACGATCTGGAACAGGGGCAGCAGAGTGTTCACCTTGTAGTCCTAAACTGTTTGCTCGTGTATCGATGAGAAGCAAAGTTTTATTGATTTTTTCGATTTTATGACCAATTTCATTACGAAATGAAAACCTTTTCAAGCTTGGAAGACACGGTACCTTTCTTTCCACCTGATCTTCTTTGTTTATTTGACGCCTCAGCATTTCATAATGAACCTCATCCAACACATCATCAGCTTCACCCACAACATCTTTTAGCTGCTTCAGCCACACCATTACAGCCCTTGTTTCCTTTTTTCCCTCGGCATCGAGCAACTTGGCACGAATCAGGTCCAATGTTCTGTGTAGGCCGATCAGCTTTTCTTCGTAACCCCAGGCAATGGCTAGTTCTCCAGCAGCAATAGACAAAATCTTTTTCAGTATCCCCTCGGCAGCAATAGTCACTAAACCTTCGGCCATTTTCACTGTTGTGGAGAATTGAGAAGAGAGGAAGAGTGGATGGATGAATGGTGGAAGAAAAAGGTGAAACTGATAAATTAAGTCTATGAGATGGTGGAACTAAAAGAGACTCAATGAATGAAAAAGCAGCCACAAGGATATTACTTTGTCGGTAATTATAGTGGAAAAGGGTATCCAATACAAAAGGTGTCCAATAATTGAGTTATTCAGCATTCTATAGTAATCATTTATAAATTTCAATATTTCATTATAATTTCTCTTTCAATAGTTAATATATAATGTTTTATGTAATTTAGAATTTACCTTTGTGACTGTTTTATTTATATTTATCTTCTGATATACTTTTTTTTGTAATATAATATGTATCCAGTTTTTCAGTTTTAATCCCTACATTTCTTTAATAGTCTGAAAATAGATTTTTCTTAGGCCATTTATCTAAAAAAAAAAAAATGGATATTTTTTTAACATATGTGTCAATGAAAGTACATTGCTATTTTTTACATTCAACTCTGCTTTAACCTGAAGTTTTAGTGGTGGAAGTATCTGATGTATCAGTAGCACACAATATTAAAAAGATACTAGTGTTGTCATATTTTCAGCTTCTGGTTCGATTTATCAAGAAAATAAGTGGCTGCCATGATCTCTCGATTGCTCAAACTTACCTCTTCTTGAAACCTCTGTTCAGTAAAGCCATGACTTTTTGGATTCAAGTAGCTCAATAATCTCACAACTCTCTACCATGTTAGAATTCAAGACCTTGTGTATTGCTTTTTTTCTTTTGGTTTTATCTGAATAACTTATCTCCATTATTTGGTGTTGTTTCCTTTTCCTTGTACTTACTAGGAGCTGCTTTACAGTTCATTTATAACTTCATGTATCTTTCTGAAATCATCTTATTTGTTATGTGTCGTGATTTTCGGAATGAATTTGTTGCCTATGAGTGTTTTTGACATCGACTGTTCCAATTCTCTAAAAGTCTAGTATCATTTTTTTTCTTTTATTCTGAAATCTCACAATGGTTGTTTTGCATTTTGGCTGGTTCAACGCACTCTTAGCATCCTACTTTCATTTATTTCCATAATTGCTCCACTAAATTTCCATTTTTTTCAATATCAAGTCTCATACTCTGAAAACTTCACACAGTTATAGCATTGTACTTTCCATTTTTTCTTGTTATAAATAATCTTTGAAAAATCTATAAAACTATAGAAGTAAAATTGCATTGTATTTGGATGATATTCCTATAATTGGGTATTTGTTTTCCAAAACACAATGTTGTAGTAACAAGAAATGAAAAATAGGATGCCATAATAATCAAATCAACAAAAGTGCAATGTTATTTCATTCATTTAACATTGTTTTTGTAATAAGAAAAAATGAAGACAAAACTTCAAAAATGGTCCCTGTGGTTTTCGAAAATATCAAGTTTAGTCCCTAAGTTCAAAAAACCTCACAGATGGTCCCTGTGGTTTCAAAACTTTTAATGTTTAGTCCTTCCATCAGCTTTCTACCATTAAGTAAGGGGCATTTTCATCATTTCAATATCCAGGGACCATTTATGAAGGTTTTCTATTATTTTAAATAAAAAGAAAACTAAAAAATAATTATTTTAATATATAATTCTCTCTCTCTCTCTCTCTCTCTCTCTCTCTTTCTCTCTCTCGTTTATGCCATATAACGAAAAGCATCAACTTCATCTGGTAACCAAAATCAAAACTTGGAAACCAAAAATCCTAGATTTGGAAGTGCTTAGATGGCTTATACCTTGATTGGTATTCCCATGGAAAACCACTGCCACTCCATCACCCAGCTATAAGTAATTTCTAGCCATGGACCATCGTATGACCTTCCTCCACATTTAAAGCAATTTGCTCGAATCTAATTAGAAAAAAGCGAAGTCACGATCAATATTTCATATGGGTTTAAAATCCCCCCACTCCATACATGCATCTGGATCTAAATTTGTTAAGAGATTGCTTTTGTGTCTAAATCATCGTACACGGAGGTTCCGAAGGGGAAGAGAAGGGGGAGGATGGTGTTCGGTGGTGGGTTCGATGATCATGATGATGCTCATGGAGGTTCAACAAGAAAAAAAAACAAGAGGTGTTTTTACCCTGTGATTTCGCAGGAAAATCTCTACGTGAAGCTCGATGGAGGAAGAAGGATATAGAGAGGGATTTGCTTGGGATTCGAAAACAGAAGGAAACAGGAGGGAAGTCGGAGGTTCTCGGCTACCTTTCTTCTTTGTTGAACAAAACTTACTAGGACATGTTGCGATGGTGGGTTTCTTCAACTGGGAACGGTGGTTATCAGGGGGTGGTTGGGTCGGCTTATCATTGAAATAGAAGAAAGAAGAAGGTGAAGTCGAGGGAGGAAGCAACTCGGTTGTTGCTGTGTTTTTCCGGTGATTAATTCATTGTACTTCGTTTGAAGCTCAAGACTTGATCCATTAGGGACTGAACCAGGTAGAGTGAATCGAGAAGTGTTGAAGGACACCAAATTGGTTAAATTTGCAAGTGAATCGATTGCAAATTGAGGGTTTTTTCTTCCAGCTCGTGTTCGCGTAAACCCTGAAATGTTGATTCCAGTAACATTGTTTGTTCTAACATGAGATTCTGACCCAATTGAAACACAGTTTGATGTGTTTATTTATTTATTTCCTTGCAATGAAATAGTTATGAAAAATTGATGTTCATATATTTACAACAAATGGATGTGATTCTTAATTATGTTGTTTGTGGAAATGTCGAGAATTTACCAAATAGGGAAGGTTTCTCATCGCCTAAGCGTCTATTGGATAGAAATTTGGAATCGTACAACAAGAATTGTATGGTGAATGAATAAACTTTCACATTTGGAAATTAGACTAATTCATTGACAAAGTGTCAAGTGAAGGACTAGGAGATCGAGAACACAAAGTTATGTGTTGATCAAGTCCACCACAAGAGTAACAAAGATACTCGTCATGAATTACTAAAGGTTTAGTAAATATGATTATACTGATAAGATTAAGGGTAATTCTAAATTGATTATAAAAGTTCAAATCAAAAAAGAGAACGAATAAGAAGAATCAAGTAAGCAGAAAGATAAAAGTTTCTCCATTCTAAGAAGAAGGGAGAGTACCTTTTACGCTTTATGATAAGTCTTAATGATTAAGAACCATATCTCAATTGACCCTCTAAGTAAGTCTTAGTACAATTGTATGTCTAAGAAGCGGAATCAAGAAGTGAAGAAATGGTTAAATCAAGAAGTCAATCATACTTCATTCCAAAACAAGTCTTAGAGTTAAGATTGTGACATTGAGTAATAAGAAGGTTTATAACATTCATCAAATGAGGAAAGTTGTGATGTCTTGAATAAGATAAAGACCAACTAGGACCTATTTATGAAGTGTTTTGATAAAAAAAAAATAAATAAATAAAAAAAAAAAAAAAACTACAGTAACTCTTAAATATTTGGTTGTCAAGAAATGTTTATTGACAAGAGAATCTTATATGTCGAAGAGTCAGTGGGAGTCTTAATGGTCTTGAGGGGTTTCAAGAACAAATCAAAATAGACCTTATTGATCATCACTAGCACACGAGTTGAGGTTTACAACCTATCGTGTTGACACTATATTATTTCTGTGCCATTCCAATGGAGTTAATTATGCATATGAGTTCTATGAGTTCTCATTTGAATGCATAAAAGGCAAGGACCTTGATCAATGAAAAGTACATTGATAGGAAAAGGTGAACTGCTTAATTACTTGGAAGACATGGTGGGCAGTTGTGCTACCATAAGGCAAGAAATCAAGATTAAGAAAGTTCGGTCCATATGAGTTTGAATTTGTCATAAACCTTGGTTTTGACAAATTCACATGGATAGGAACACACACACCATTAAAATCTAAGTGTCATAAGATTTTTCCTTCATGAAAATGACTGTGAGAAAATGCTTTCACTAAGAGAGATTTTAAGAAAATAGCAATTGTAAAATTGCTTTCTCAAATTTGATTATGGTTACGGTATCCCTTTCCATGATTCGAATTGTGAGATTTGGCAATTAGTCTTAATTGTTTATGTAACATCCCGGAATCGCAAGAGTAGAGTTGAAGGGCTAAAAGTGTAAGTTTTAGAGGGTGACTCGGTGAGTCCATGGATAGACTCAGCGAGTCAGGTCGCGGCTATGGTCGTGTGTCAAGTGGCCTACTCGGCGAGTCCAAAGATGGACTCGACGATTAGGTGCTGTATGGAGAAAACCCTAATTTTCGGGGTTGAGCCCTATATAAAGAGCATTATACCCCTCCACAGCCTCCCTTATTCCCCCCTTGAGTTCCAGAAACCCTAAATTCATGGAGAGTCCCATTATTGAGCAAATTAGAGCTTGGAGAGGTGTTGTTTGAAGAGATCTTGAAGGAGAAGTGGCTTGGATCAAAGGGCTTTGCTTGGATTCGAGTTTGGTTGCTATTGAGGCATCTTTTGGAGGTAATACTTTCGTTCTTGGGTTGTATCTTCCTAGTTTCATCATTTTGGGGTTTGTGGGGAGTATATCTTGGAATGTTTTGGAGTTTGGAGGTTAGATCTGAGGTTGCTACCTCAGATCTGGAATATTGAAGCCCTGGAGTGCATTAAAGTTCCTGTGTTTGAGTGCTTAGTGAAGCCACCATGTCCCAAACCTTGGTTCTAAGGTGAATAAGGCTTAGATCTCTTTAGATTCACGTAAAGTTTGCCACTTTACGTGATGGATGGATTGTACGAGGTTGGATCTATGTTTTGGATCAATTGCATGGCCTGAGATGCTTCTGTATGGATTCAGATCGGTGGTACTCGACGAGTCACATGGGTGGACTCGACGAGTTGCTTGAAGATGGCCTGGAACTCGACGAGTTGGAAGAACAACTCGGCGAGTAGGTTGAAGATAGCCTTGGACTCGACGAGTCCATTTGGACTCGGCGAGTCTTGTCGAGGAAGTCCCAATATTTCTGGTGGAGTCGATGAATCGGTGAGTCAAGGGATGAC